CAATTATTCTGGCAATTGTGGCTAAAATTCTTCTTGGTCTACCGGACCTTGGCTTGGTATGAAAGAGATCCCCAAATTTTCCACTTCTTAATAAGTAATTGAACAGTACTGACTGGCATTTTCAAGGCTTTGGATATCTTTTTATATCTTTTTTCCATCTTTATAAAGTTCCATTTACCTTGTTATGCAGGTCTTTTGACATGTCTTTTCTGCTCCCCATACCACAGTATCTAGCCTGCTCAGTGCATCCATGTGAGAGTGAACAAACTCATTGATTATTTATACACAGACACCAATTGCAATTTAAAAAGGAACAGGTGTGTGGAATTAACCTTTAATTGCCATTTTAACCTGTTTGTGTCACCTTGTGTGTCTGTAACAAGGCCAAATATTCAAGGGTATGTAAACTTTTGATCAGTTCCATTTGGGTGATTACTGTTATCATTTAAAAAGAAGAAGGAGCAAAACAACTAAGTGATAATAAATAACTTCATAGGATCACTATCCTTCAATAAAATATTTTTTTTGCATGATCAGTCATATTTTCTGACAGTCCAACATCACATGAAGATTTACTGTTGATCTCAAAAATATATATATATTTTGCATGATAGCATAAACATGAACATATTAATGTGTGAATGGGAAGAAAACATGTCAAACATTGAAGGTACCACATTGCATCTAGGTGGTCTGCAGAAGAGACCACTAATAAAAAAAGACTAAGACCCTGTACAAAGGTATATCAGTAAGCAAAGTGGGCAAAGGCAACAGTCTCCGATTTACCAGTTATAACTGCAAATAGGTCAGGTACCAGTTGTTTTCTTCTTAAGTTAGCAATTAAATCTTTTTTATATGTTTGACTGATGCCACCAGTCTCAAATCCAGACTCAACATCTCAGGCACATCAGCAAGACATCAAGGCATCCTCATGGCTAACAGCAGACTGTATGACTCACAACAGCTCAACAAAACAAGCCTGTTCTAATAAACACATTTTTTTTCATTTAAAAAACATGTAGTATAATAAATCAAATAATAGATTAACACTATGTCACATACTTGTCAACACCATAAAATGCAGCAATTAGAAACAAAGAATTGATTAACAGAATACTTAAATACATTGTTGCATTAGTCATTATAGAAATATCAGTTACACGGGTTGCACAATAGGTGTGACAAGTTAAATGTTTAAAGGAAAGCTAATTATAGATACACTGTATGGTAAGGAGAGCAGCTTTGGGGTGAAATTTCACGTAACAGACAAATCATCTGGAGACCTTTCCAATTCAGTCCTCATCAGAAAACAGTACAAACAGGAATTCAGTATAAGCATATGCAAATGTGGTTCACAATCAGGTTTTTTTTTTTATTAAAGTGACTATTGCCTGGAATTGTAAGTGAATTTGATGTCAATTTTTAACTTAAGTGCAAAATAGCTGACTTTGGTCCAAAATTAAAAATTCACATAAAATTTACATTGAATTCTTAAGAACTCTCACATTATTATTATTATTATTATTATTATTATTATTTCTATAGCGCCAGGTTATTCTGCAGTGCTGTATAATTATAGAATGTGAATTCTGACAACAAGTAATTGACAACAAGTAATTTGCATGTTGTATAACAGAGACAATATGTGAATAAGGCCCTGCTCAAATGAGCTCACAATTAATGGTGACTATTTTTGATCTTTTCTGGCCCAACTAATCCTCTCTCATTGTTCCATTACCAGTTATTAACCAATGGAAAGTAGATAAATCTGCATTTTACAGTGTGTTTTTTTTGTTTTTCCCATCTAATCAGGCAGTATGGAAGCCACTGAGTTTAGTCCCAACTGACAACGCAAAAAAAAGGTATTGATTGATAAAACAAAAGGCGAGAAGAGGGAACACACAGAACATGTACTTATGAGCTGAGGTACCAAAATATATTTAAAAAAAATACAGATTAAATGAACAATGTACATAAAATGCACTTTTAAATATTACAAGGCTACTTAAAAATCACCTATCTAAGCAAATAAATATGGGGATTCACTGACCCCATATGGCCATTTTGTGTTAAACCCAGCACTGCAACACAGTATCCAAATATTGGTATTGATTGATACCTGCATTTTAGAGGTAACATATAGTCCAGAAAATAATAATTGCATTTTTGGGACTATAGGTTTCCTTCTGTTCACTCCCCCTTGTTTAAAAACCCCAAAAACTAAGTTAAATGAATATCACTTGCCTCCTTTCCAGAGCTGTGACTCCTCCACTACAGCCTCTCATTACTCTTTTGAAGATGTCAGCATGCTTACTGATGTTTTCTGCTCATGGATGGGTGATATTCAGGTGTGACAAAACATCATGGTTCCCCAATTAAATGCTGCTATCTGCAGTATTTGACTTCAGCCCCAGGTTTGATGTGGCTCTGAAGGAGGAAGAACCTAATATGGTGTATTCAAATATTCAACGTTAAAATCAATTTATACAAAACTAAAATGTTTACAATGTTTTTACATTGAGATGAAGTGGTGTAGGTGACTTTAGTGGACCTATTTGGGAAATAGTCTGAGAGGCAGTACTATTTCGTTCTTTTGTATTTTTTGTATCAATCTAACAGAACATATTTTTTAACAAGCTAACAGAACAGAATTTTTTTTCTAATAGGTTCTTAATATACTACTACTACTGTTGCTACTACAACTACTACTAAAAATAATAATTTGGGATAGTATACAGTTTTAGTATGATGACCAATGTAATACAATTTTTGTAACTATATATATATTCCAGCTTTAGGGATTAATTTATTCTTTTAAAGCTCACATTGCTTTAGAAAAAAATAGGTTTGTTCCATACAGAAGTTTTAATAAATGCAATAAATGTAGGATAATTGCATCTAAGACTAGAATCAGCAGTGGAATAACTGATTAAAATAATAGGACCTAATTTTCACAACCTGCGTATGACTAAACAGAAAACAGTCAGGCATGGCAAACACACTCCCTTTGATGCTTCCTGAATGCCTATCTAAAGTTCCTTAATATTGTGGAAAAGTAACAAGCTGTAAAGCTTAACACACTGTTTCAGCATACATCAAGAAAATAACAGAACAAATAACATCTGTTTCCTTGTCTGGTGTACGTTGGGAAGAAAATCGGAACTCAGATATCTCTCCTGAGTTGTGGGTGATGTCTGTAGAATGTGAAATGAACTTTCTTTGGAATGTAAAGCACAGTCTAACCTTAAGAGCTGTCAAATCCTAAACTTCAAGAAAGTTATGGATCCTTTACTGAGCATTATCTAAGCTTACATTTTCTGTTTAAAATGTAAACATCTTAAAACAACAGTGATAACATTCTTTTATTGAGAAATATTAAACACTTTGGCATGCTAACCTTGAATGTTAATTACAAAAATACACTAAAAATTATAACAATAGGTATGTAAATATAACTTGCTAAAATAAGGACAGCCATTTTAAATATAATCATATTATCTTTTTATATCTACAGTCAAAGTCATGGACATAAGACTAAACATCTGCTTACACTATTATGACTGTGATCATACAGTCATGAATTGTCTATCATTTTATTAAACCCTACAGTATCAAACAATCACAACCAGGAGAAAATAAGTTGTAAGATAACTACTATGGTGTCAAAATATCCCAGCAAAAGTTGGATATATTTTTTTAAAGAAATATATCCCTGTTTGTGAATAGCACAACATTTCAAAACATATTTTACATAATTTTATTTAATTTATTAAAACAAGTTTTGTCTAGAGACAAGAAAATAATTAGTGAAACACAAAAATAAACATTTTTGAAATTAAAAGAGATATAAAGAACAAAATATGCAAAATAATTTTCCTTTAAAAAAAAAAGTCATAAAAGGTCATATGTGCTGTTACAGTCGTGACTTAAATATGAATATTAAATTTAATAATTAATATATAATAATTAAGCAACAAATAACAACATTAATAGAGTTCGGTATTATGGTCGAATATATAATAGGAAATACACAAAATATTGTAGTATTAAATGTATATTTAATATAATTATAATAACAATTAAACAAATGCTAGCAGAATGTCAATTTACCACAATAATTACACAATACAAAACTACAACATTACTTACAAAATGCTATAACAGTTGCTAGCTGTTATAATAGATTACTTACACGGCTCCAGCCTGTTTGGCTGGAGCTATACACACAGCTACATGTTCAATCAATGCAAGCAAAGGAAAAAGGAGGCTCAAAATCCTTCTACTATTTGGTTTTATCCAGTAAGTAGGCTGGCCTGTGATGTCACTGCCAGAAGCACATGAGTTAGCACACTGACCCCTAGTGGTGCCTCTAAAGCATTAAGCTCATTATGCTTTACTGACATCTAGTAGTGCGTCTAAAGCATTAAGCTCATTATGCTTTTTTATGACAAAAAGTCATTAATTAATAAATACCATTACAAACCACCCTTTGACTTATGTCATAAAACAAACATTATAAACCCGTACATCTTGGATCTACCCTATTTTCTTTTGAAGAATGATACCCATTTACCCGTAAAGTTATGACACTTTATTGCTTATTCAATTTTTTTTTTTTCATTGAGCACATGCATCACCAGTAAAATAAGCACATACCCACCCTTATAATAACCACTGAGCACATGCATTAGCAGTTGGGAAACCTTGGCCTTAAATAGGCAAATACCCACCCTTATAATAATGAACAACTCAAACCATGTTTTATTAGATTAACCAATGATATTGTGTTCATGTGAGGATGTGTTTTGGAGCTTAATATAGTATTAGACACCACAAACTCATAACACCTATGAATCATGGCACAGACCGACTCGATTTCTGTAGCCTCTGGCTGGTCTGTGTGCCTGGAATTTCCACAAACATTAGTCCTGGAAACTGAATACTCTGTTCTTCGACAGTCTCATAGAACATACGCATGGAGACAGGAATGAATGAAACAGTTCATGATCAAGGACTTTTGTGTGTTTGTGGTCACATTGTTTTGTTTCTTCTTTCTTTATACCATTAACCACCTTGACGTAACAGTGTCCTGCTCCTGATGCATTTGTTCCGACTCTCACCACTCTTAGCTGCAATATTTTTTTCTCCTTACAGCAACAGTTGAGCATAGTGTCCAGTGCTTCTTCTTCTTCAGCTTAAAATATCCTTGCTTGAAAGTTCTTGAATGAAAACACAGGCAATGACGAACACAAACATAAATAATAACTGTGCCAATCATCACAAGTACCATTTGATTGTGGTGTCTTAACCATATTTTTTTTCCTATGGCGTTTGGATAAATACCTACACACCTCTCTTCACATCCAGCACACTCCTGATTCACAGATAAACACAATATCACTGCTGTATCTACCAATTTAACCAAAACAATCGTTATTACTGCTACATTTACCAATTTAATCTAAACACTCGTTATCACTGCTGTATTTAACCAATTTAATGTAAACATTAACCAAAACAATTACATTCCTATTTACCACCCTTCTATTTAAACATGTATAGATAACCCAAAATGCCTACTTTCTCTTATCCCTCTTATCATTCTTCCGTTTTTTTTTTTGTTTTTTTTTAACTGCAACCACTCATGCACTTTACACAGACACAAATCAAGCACCTACTGGACAATGGGGTTCCCTCGTTAGAGCCCTCCCACCCCAGTTTGGTTTACACAAAAATACCCCCTGGTCCCTATGGGTCAATTCCCCCCTTTCCCAGGCAAGCATACATACATACATACAACAATAATACATAAGGGTTTCAATTGCAATACAATCACTAGAAATAAGAGAATAGTATGCACAAAATCATAGCATAGACATGTTAAATAGACAATAAAATAAAACATTCAATAGCTCATCAAAGGTCAACATTTAAACACTGGTCTCCATCTGATATTCTATCTGTGTTCCAATGTCCACCTCTGGTTTCTGCTACATCTGAAAAGGTTAGGAAACAGATCAGGATTACTTTCCTAGTCACTTATAGCATATACTGCAAATATTTTACTTAGAATATATATATATATATATACACACAGACATGTAAACACATTCCTTCAGTTTTTCATTTTATAAACAATTTGTTCAACAAGGTAACTTTCTTAATTTTCTACTCGGCTCTTAAAATAAACAATCAGCTAATAGCTGCTTTCTGCATCTTCCTTGCAATTCAGGAGTACACAACACTAAAAGTCCAATACTCAGTACCCCCTAGCCTAAATTCCCCACCTGCTACTGTAACTAAGCTTACAGCCCACGTTATGGCAGTTCACCCGCTAGGCAGATACACCCTAATTCAAAGCATGGAAATATTAAAATCAGTTATAGATGGCTTCTAAAATAATATAAATCTTAATCTGAGCCCCTACACTTAGTTTGTTAAAAATGCTAACTTGTTAAAATATTCAGACTAAATAGGACAAAGGAATTATTTTACCATTTTTTCAGTTCATTTGTTACCAGTTCCTGCATATGTCCAGTAATTCCTTAGTCCTGGATAATAAAGCTGAAAAACACTCCACAAATGGATTAGTTTAGGCAATTACATTTACAAAACAATGCAGTTTATTTTTTCTCATACAGGCAAGACTACCCACCCCCAACAAGGACAAATTCTCCCCAGCTGTAGCTGAAAAGCATGGTCACACAGCTGTTAAAAAGGTGGTCTCTCCTTCATGAGTCAAAATCATATATATATTTATACTAATATTCTGTGTATACGCACACATAAATCTATTATTCACTGAATCTGCTTTACTAAACGTATCTTTTTCTTAACTACTAATTTAATAAATTTTGTCCAAATCTCTTTTCAACTAGACAAATCCATGAATGCCAAACAAATGTAAATTAGTACACAAACAGGGTCAAATTTAGCAATAAAACCTGGTGAACTAGTTTAGTGAAAAGTCTTTTCCTATGCAAATGGTAGCAAACAATGAAACTAGGCCTCAACTCATTCACACCATGTGGTCAATGGTGGATTAAAATCCACATGGTCAGACAAAAGGTAAAGTATATATTTTTTTCTATATACAAATGACTAAAGATTGGTAACAAGCAACACAATAATTCATCACTATGTTCTACAACAAGAGATACCTTAAAAACAAATATCTAATCCCTATCTGCTATCTGCATTCATTCCATTACATATTAAATCATCATTCATTTATTCACTTCTATACAGACAGACAATTGACTCTATGTATTAAACAAAATGCATAACTTTTGTATTTTCCCTAATATTCCAGCATAATCCCATATCTTCGTCGCCAAGTGTTACAGTCGTGACTTAAATATGAATATTAAATTTAATAATTAATATATAATAATTAAGCAACAAATAACAACATTAAGTTCGGTATTATGGTCGAATATATAATAGGAAATACACAAAACATTGTAGTATTAAATGTATATTTAATATAATTATAATAACAATTAAACAAATGCTAGCAGAATGTCAATTTACCACAATAATTACACAATACAAAACTACAACATTACTTACAAAATGCTATAACAGTTGCTAGCTGTTATAATAGATTACTTACACGGCTCCTGCCTGTTTGGCTGGAGCTATACACACAGCTACATGTTCAATCAATGCAAGCAAAGGAAAAAGGAGGCTCAAAATCCTTCTACTATTTGGTTTTATCCAGTAAGTAGGCTGGCCTGTGATGTCACTGCCAGAAGCACATGAGTTAGCACACTGACCCCTAGTGGTGCCTCTAAAGCATTAAGCTCATTATGCTTTACTGACATCTAGTGGTGTGTCTAAAGCATTAAGCTCATTATGCTTTTTTATGACAAAAAGTCATTAATTAATAAATACCATTACATGTGCCAACTACCATGCTCATGCTATTAAATGCCTTTCATAGAAAGACATTGGATCTAATTCTTCTCTATTATTATTATTATTATTGTTGGCCTTTATATAATGCCAACTTATTATGCAGTAAATGCATGCATGCTTAATGTTGTGCTATAAGGGGTGGTTAGCATGATTGAGTTTAGGGTTAGAGTTGGATTAAATGTTAGTATTAGAGTGCATGGAGTTTTAAGTGTTGAAGAGGAGTTAAACCTATCATAAAGGTAATTTTTTTTAAGGGTTCTGACTCTGATTAAAATGGTTTGTTTAGGTTCTGGAAGGGGTTAAAATTATTTTTTTATGAATATATAGAGCACAGGAAACAGGAGTTTGGGGGGTTATTAAAGTACTCATCCTCCTATAATTGATAGAAGAGCTGCATGAGCTGATATTCAAGGTGTACCGCTCAGGGCTTTCCTATGATTGATAGTATAGCTGCAGTAGATAGTATACATTATGCATTATTCAGTGCTATCCCTGCAACTGCTGCAAAGTATTTCCTGTGTGAAAGGATGTTAGTGGGCAGGCACATAGTGATCACTTCCACTTTATGTCCAGACTCACACTTTGACAGTGGAGGAGCTGGGAAAGCAATGATTTTTACACCCTCTATTAACTATCCCTACAGATTTAATTTCAAGTATAGGAGGCATAGGTAGCTGACATTACTACAGAAGAGAAAAACAGAGAAAAGGTGGTGCTAAAATCTAATAAAATATCAGAAATAAAATCTAGTGCAGCTAAGTGTTTAGTCACTAAATAACACTTACACACAAAGAATAAAACTGGAGATAAGGTGATTGCGCACACGTTGGTAAATTATTTCCTTGTTTTTAGTGTACAGTCCGTAGGTTCTGTAAATATAAAAAAAAAACATAGGGCAATATGTATCAACACAGTAAATACAATAAAAAACTTGGAACACTCACAATATTCAGATTTTTATCTTTAGACTTGAGGAACTACTATGGTGACCAGGTTTGCTCCCAGCTATGCCAATCTTTTTATGTCTTACTGGGAAAGATTATTTATCTACCAGGGACATAGCTGTGGAGCAAACATGGCCCTATACAAGTGTTATACAGATTATATTTGTATTGTTTGGAAAGGTTCTGAGGAGGAATTTAATTTATTTTTTAACCATCATAATTTCAATGATTGGGGTATCAAATTTACGAAAAATATCAGTTCTGTAACTATCCACTTTTTAGATCTTAATATTTATATTTCTGAGAATAAGTTTAAAACACGCATTTTTTTTAAGCAAGTTGATGTAAATAGTTTTTTTTGAGACAAGTAGTTGCCATCATGACCGATGCCTATAAATTATCTCCAAGGGTCAATTTTTACGAGTTAAAAGAAACTGTTCGGACCAGACAGATTTCATCAACCAGTCATCATTTAAAAAAAAAAAAACATTTTTTACAAAAAGGATATAAAGAAGACAACCTTCAGAAAAATATTGACAGTTTTAAGGACCTAAATAGATCACAAATACTAAACTATAAAAATAAGGATCAAGCTAACCAAGGAAAACAAATACCACTTATTTTAATTATCATAGAAATATTAGTGTTTTTAAAAGAATTATAAATAAGAACTGGCATATTCTGCAACTAGAACAAGAGATTTTTGATTGTATAGGTGATAAACCTAAATTCATTTTTAGAGGGGCCAGAAATTTTAAGCAAATTTTAACGTCTAGTTATGTAGAAAAAGAAAGAGAAAAAATTTTTTGGTAGATTGGTCAAAAAAGCAAACAGATTTTTATCACTGTGGCAATTGTAACGCCTGTAAAATCACCCACGTCATTAAGAAAAAGAAAGAAACTTTCACATCCAGTAGAACTAAAAAAGATTTTAATATTACTTATTTTATCACATGTGAATCTAAGAATGTTATTTATTTATTACAATGTACGTGTGGTTTACACTATATAGGAAAGACATCAAGACCTTTAAAAACAAGAATTAATGAACATATAAGAAATATCAAAATCGGCATTTTAAATCACAGTGTGTCAAAGCACTTTTTGGAAAAACATAATTCCAATCCAAAGGAAATTGAGTATGTAGCAATCCAAAAAGTACTGGCACACTGGAGAGGTGGTAAATATGTTTTTAATTTAAGTAAAAAAGAAGCAAACTGGATATTTGAATTACAAACTCTGTGCCCTAAAGGACTGAATATAGATTTTGAAATTAGACCAATACTTTAAGTTTCTACATAACTCTTTTGCAAATTTTTAAATCACTTTAAATAATCTTAATTTTGTTATACTATATGATTTGCTACTGTTCTTAACATCCTTGTATCATTATATAATGCTTTCTGTTTT